GTAGTACATGTGAGGCCTTAATGACATTGTCTAATGGAATATTACAGGAAATGTTTCAGTCTGAAATGAAAAGTCTTTGTAAACCTGACTGGAAGCAGAACAGAAAACCATTGTCCAAAAAAAGATTTAAAATACAAATTTTGTTTTATGGTCTCAGACTCTCTTCAGTCCCTCAAGTGAATCTGTTCACGCAGACAGAAGCAGGCACATGCGATGTCGTTGCCCTCAGCTTGTGCACAGGTGTAGGAATCTGCTCCTGCAGTTTAGAGAGATCCTGGGAGTTTGCCTTGACCTTCTTCCTAAAAGAAAGTTTGGAAACTAGGAAACTAGTAAAATTGCCAAGGTCAATGAAACATAACTAGAAAATAGCCTGAACGCCCAACTTGAGCTCCAGTGTTACCCTGATACACCAGCGAGTGTTCACAGTCATCCATCTATTAAGCAATTAGCTATGGTTGTTTAGATGTTGCCAAGAATGCAGGGGCAGCTCTCATTAAACAAAAAAGAAGATTACATAGTTTTGTTTACATCTGGCACTCAGGTTACTTTTTAGGAAATAATCCATGGGAAAGTTTCTTGAAAAAAAACACATCACTGCTTGTAGTATTTTCCATCCTTTTTATACTCACTAAGCAATGTACTAATGGTAAACCCGCACATGCAGCTCTGTGATATGATAGGAGAAGATCTCAGCTTGTAAAAAATAGGAATTGGTAACCCAATGCTGTCCATGAGACAGCATCCGTCTGCATTTGGGATGGTGGGGCAGTCTGACCCATCTGCCACCAGAATGTGCATCTGGTAAGTGTCTGACAAGGTGGAGGCAGGCACTTGATGCGTACTCAAAGTGCTACCAAAAGGAAAAGTTTAACTGGAGTCAAATTCAAATCAAATTAAATCAAACCAAATAATTTCTCATCTGGAAGCTAAGAATCTCTCCTGCTTTTGGTCTGCTGAACAGGATATATATATGTAAGTATGGCATAGGCTGGGCAAGATGGGTTAGATAAAATATGTTACAAAGATGGTCTGGTTCTGCCTCCTTCACAGAGTCTGTAAGGCTGTCGATGTAATTCCTGCTTATAGGAATTCAGAAGTCTACATGTGAAAGATCAGCTTTATTTCTTCTTCATGCACCACCCTCAGTAATGTTGGAAGCCACTGCAGCCACACTTGTTTTGGAGAAGACACTGAGATGCAGCTGTAAAATTGACTGTTGTCCAAGGTAGTCAACTCAGAGTTGTGGACCTGCTGACATAATGTATCTGCTTTAATTTGTGGGTTTCATATCATCATCTCGGTCAAAACATTTTCTGTATCTGCCACAGCTGGAACTGGCCTGGTAATAACTTCAAAAGGAAAGGTGTTGCTTCTGCCACATCTGCAGCAGCGCTGTGCACGAAGACGAAAAAAAGTAAACATGGGGGGGGGGGGGGGGGGGGGGGGGGGGGGAAGAAAAAACAAAAGGGACGTGCGGAGAACAAATGACCAGGAGGCCTGCAAGCGCCGCAAATTCGGTGTGAAAAGCTGTCCGTTAGTGCCATCTTGTGGGCCCAGAGCCACCCCCACGCCAAAGAGGCAAAGCTCGCTCCACCTACATGCAACCCTACCTCACGCCATCCTGGCTTCTAGCACGGGGACCTTCCGTCAGAGGACAACGCTGAAGCTCTAGCAGATATACAAGGCATGATACCTTACCTGCGGTCACTTGAGCAAAGAAGAGCTGTGTACTGGGGAGAGGCACCAGCCCAGCACTCACCTGGGACCCTCTGATCTTCTCTGCCACATCTGAACAGAAACCAGGCTGCAAAGTCGGCACAAGGGATGAGCAAGTAGACTGTCCAAATGTCTAGCTACACCTGTGCAAGAGGATTTCTGCCATCCCTTCAGAGGCATACTTCACCCTGAAAGGCTCATGTCCTCATTAAATGCCTGAAGCATCATGAGGCACAGTGTTAGTTATGTGCAGGACTTCAGTATGGAGCACCTTGCTCAAACTAGGGTATCCTTTAAAGTGGGGTACTAAGTGTGGGAGCTGGGAGGAGCCCAGCTTCTTTCCCCACCCCTAGGCTCTATCCCAGGCTCTTCTGAGGCAAGATGCAGCCTCTAAGTCAGAGGTGGGTGTGTAACATAGGCAGATGGGTGGGCAGGCAGACGGCTTTCTGGCCCGATTTGGCTGCTGGGGGTGAGGAGAAAGGAGACAGGAGGGAGACAAAGGCAAAGTCAGCAGTAGCAGCAATGGGCCAGTTATCAAGAGTTATGCAGATGGGATAAAGTTGTTGTCTTGGGAGCTGTCTCTCACATTTCCCCTGGGTGCTTGGCACCATCACATCTTGTGTCAAAGCCTGTGCAGATGGGAGGGAGGAGATTAAATGCAGAGGCTGAGGGTGGGAGGACAGTGGTAGAGGGCGAGTTGCACAGGGGATTGCATTGGGAATCAAAATGCCTTCCAAGCACCCACTGCAGTTCTGTTTAGATCTCCACATGTAGCCTTGACTTTCCTACATGGAGTTACCTGACAGGATCCTGCAAATACTAAGACTAGCAGAAGTCTGGTTTCCTACATTCAGTCTTGTGTCTTGTGGTATGGCTATGACTCTATCATGACTTTATTGCAGTACTGTACATCTTAGAAATGGATATGATCTTGGGTTAAAGATTTTGAGAAACAATGAATCCTCCACATCCCTTGGTGTGTTGTTTCAGTGTTTAAACACTCGCACAGTTAAAACCAGCTATACCTTATTTCAGACCTCAGCAAGTCTAAGTCTGTGCTTCATATATTTGGTAATCTTGTGCTTTTGCTTATGATTTAACCTGTCTGCTAGGTTAAAGCATTGCTAAGTCAGGAATCTTTTCTGTATATGAGCCCAGTATCGGTCATTGCATAGTTAAATATCCTTCTTTATAGCCACAGAACTACAGTAGGAGCTTCTAAAATCTCTCCAGGTACATTTGATTGGGGGGGGCAGGAAGAGGGGGGAGGGCTACATTTTTTCAAATAAATCTCTTTCTAACACTGTCAGTCCCTGTGGTTACTCCTGTGGCTGAAATCTGTCTCTTCTATCCACAGATACTATGATTCCCTCATTTCTTCTCTGCCTGAATTTCCTTCAGTTCTTCTTACCTCTTATGCTCTTCTCTTTCAGCTCTGTACTGTTCTCCCAGCTGCAGCTATAACATCTCACCTGGTTACCAGTTTTATAGGAAGCAAACGCTAATGTTTATATGTAAGTTAAAAAGGTAACACAGAATCTGAATAAGTATTTATTTCCTTAACAAGTAGATAAGGCTGAGGAAAGTGAATCTAAACATATTGATAAAGTAAGCATTTTACACAAAGCAGACTCTTAACCTGGTGTATGTTACCAGCCTTGTAAATAGCATAAAGTCAGTGTGCAATGGGTGACAGATGTGGAGTAACTAAACTGTGCAGTTTCTTGGCAGATTTATGTACATTATGACATTTGAAATGTTGTATTTACATATGTGCTCACATAATGAAGGCATCCCAACTGAAAGACCTCAGTCCTTTGTAAAAGTTAAACTCTCACTGTGTTCAGTGCTACAGCAGGATTCAGATTCAGTTCTATAAGACCAGAGGCATTCTTGCATCTATTTTGTAGTAATGTTCACATTTTACAGGACACTACACTCAAAATGAAATAGTAACAACACAGTTATGGCCTTCTTATTTTGGCAGATTTTTACTGACATCTGGGTCTGTTTTTAGTGCTATTTCACATGCTTCAGATTTCGAAGAGTACACATCTTTCATCTTACTGAAGTGCTAACTCAAAACCTTGAATTTTGCTTGAGCAGACTGTGTTGCATTGTGTCTATTACATAAAATTATATCCCCGTACAAGTAAGCAAGAATTAGAGCAAGGGGCGACTATCAAAGTCAGTGAATTTCATCAAACATATCAGGCCACCATTTATACCTCTCCACAGAAATTAATTTTGTCTTTATTAATATCCAGGCCTGCACTCACTTGAAGCAAAATGCAGAACTTGGAATTGAATGCAATTGAATGGAAGCATTTTGGCACAACAGCCAACTCATATGACGATACAAGTTGATCAGGTAACAGAAGTATGAGAAAAAGTAGATTTATAGGTATCATCCTGGCATAAGGGGCTAGTACTCTCTTTTTACCTAAATTTAGTCCTTCTTTCCCATAAAGAGAGTGTAAAATCACTGAGTCTTTCAGCTACATTCCCATGTAGGAAAAGAGCTGGAGAAGTGAAATTGTATTTATATGTATAAAGTTATAACTCCAAAAGAGGTTATAAATAACAAAGCTGTATTTGTTAGGCGAGTACAGAACTGCTGGATAAAAATGCAGCTTCTTATATGAGTGGGGGAAGAACTGTAAATAACTTCATGAAAAGCATAATCCTTTACTAACCCCCTCATGGTATGGTCATTTTCCCAGTGAATCCTGCCAACAGTGAAATGTGCACCTGGCAATGCTAATGCCATATGTTAGGAACTGTGCTAAGATATGTTAATTTAAGTGATTAAGGATTAACAACTTGGCCAACAGGTGCACCTTCATGTGGACCCTATCATTCAGCCAGGCATTCACTCAGAAAATGTCTCTTAACAAAGAACATTGATGAAAAAAGCAGACAGTAGCTTCATGCAGTTGGCAAATCTCTTCCCTTTCTAATTCACGTGCACCCAACTGATAAGGAGTGTGTGTGCTATGGTACAACAGCATCTAAATTCTGATTGGAAATGTTGGGGACATGCATAAAACTTCCAATGAGTGTTGTCAGGGTGGGATCTTTGATGTCCACTAACAGACAAAAGCCTTGATCCTGATCTTGGATATACCAGCTTGAATCTGAAGTAAGTCCTCTGATTAACGTCATGGAGAATAGAACATGCCCTACAGCTGCTGGTTTTCTTCAGTAGTCAATGACTGTTTATCATTAGCTTCAAAAGGAACAAAACTAGGCCAACATCATTTTTAAAACCCTCCTCTTCACGTGTTTGTATGATATCTTAAAGGAAAAGCTATGTACAGAGAAGAGTTCCTGTGCTAGAAAGCATTACTAGCTAACAAAGGCCTGTTTATGTGAAAGACATGTCTAGCTGTTAGCATGCTGTAATGCATAACCATTGTTATACATGTAATTATTGTAACTGGTCCAGTCATCTGCACACTGATATTCTTGATTAGACTGAATGTACGGATGATAAACTGTTTCTTTTCCCAAGAAGTAAGATGGAGCAAGTCTCTGTAAAACAACAGCACTGAACTGGTATGTCAGCTTCCTTCGAATTTTAATGATTTCACCTGTTCTTCCATAATTCCTCAGTGCTCTGGCCATTTTCTGATATGTCATGATCTTGCGGTTTCCCTTTCTTTCTCCCCACAGCTCTGCAAGTTTCTCCTTGTTTTTGGAGACAAACTGGAAGACACCATTGGGCTTATCCACCCATTGGATGCAGTTTGCCATAGCTGGATCATACAGAGACTCATGGAGGTACTCAAATAGTCGAAGTTTTTTTCTACCTATTAAGAAATAAAGTACAAAATGTCAGAACGGAACTCATACTTGTTTTAAAAGATAAGCAGTTGTCTTTTTCCTGCAAAGGGTCTTACAGGCAAAAGCATAGGTAAACCTAATACGCAGTCACAAATTAAAATATCAGTATAAACTATTCAGTGGAAGACGAGCAACAGCAAATGGAATGATAGCTCTGAAACACGTACAGATCTGTGGTGACAGAAAGGGCTTTGGTCATTAGAGTTTCAACAGCAGGTTATTTGGGGATCATGACAAATATCTTGTGACTTCACTGTGTGGTAGGTCTCAGAAGTCACCTTCAGCAGTCTTCAGACACATGCTGTGCAGGTGCATGGTCGAGGAACTCACTGCAGGAAATTATATCCTCAAACAGTGCAGGAAAGAGCTTTTGGAGAGCCAATCTGAATGTTTTTGAATAAATGTTTCCCCTGCTTAAGCAAAACTCAAAGATTTTGAGATGAGTCAATTTTGTCAGGTTTGTTTCAGGAATGTTTTGGGGATGCAAGGTAGTCTCAGATATAAGAAAGGGGGAGTGAGTGAGCAGGAAGAGCAAGCTAGTTTTGAACCATAAACCTCACCTAGTCAATAAGGAGCTAGACCTTCTGGTGCACTGTAGTTTTCTAAAAATGTGCCGAAGTGTCAACTTGCATTCCCATGCAGAATAAAGCAAGCTCAGTACCACGATATTTGTCAGTTAACAAAGTGCTTCTCTCCACAGGGTCAGCTCTCAAACTTAAGTTTACTAGTGAGGCTTATTTAGTTTCACTTAGGTCTTGTGGATCCCTCTCTCTGAAGTTCCTCTAGTTCCCTCCACAAAGCCAAGGGTGACCAAGAAGCTGCCGTAAGGAGGAAGAATTGAAGATTATGAGACAAAGAGGAACATTTTGCAGAAAGGAGAATCTATGCAGAAGAACGGCTTCCACTTTAACCAAAGTGGAAACAAGCAGCTGCACCTAAAGTTCATAAAGTCTTGTCTTGCGTGACTATTTTAAACTAGGAACGGGGGAAAAGTGACAGTTGCTAAGGAACACTGAGGTCAAGCCAAGACATCTGTTAGGGATGACAGTAATTCTGCATCTGGTGGTAAGGAAAGAGGAGAGAAGTGACAGTCAGACTAGGAAGAAGAAGAGCCTGAAATCAGAGGTACTTTCCAAAAAATTAATAAAGTTTCATTATCTAAATAAAAATTGACCTGTGACTAGAAGTACATATTCTACTAGAAATACATATATTATTCCCAAGATGAGAAGCTTAAAAGCAAACCGGTGAAGGACACTGCCTGGTCACAGTAAACACTTCTTAGTAGGTGACCCCCTTAGGTCCCCTCCAACTCGAATAATGCTATAAACCTATGAACCTATGGTAGAACAAGTAAAATCAGGGGAAAATCCACAGACATCTGTGGACTGAGTCTGTTTTGGAAAATGACAGTGTAGCCATGTCTGCAGCAGCATCTGATTTCATGCTGTCTGTCCTCTTAGTTCGGCTGTCATTTCTGCCCGAGCTTTTATTTCTAGACACATTGTCTCTAGCTGTCTTGGTTTGAGAGGTCTTATTGGCTCTTATGTGTTAATGCAGCTATGTTTCTAGAGCCCAGCTGTTATCTACACAGTGCTACACAACGTCGATGCACCAGTTTGAGCTGGGGTTAGTCCACAGATCTTAGTACTGCACCTCATTGCAGAAGCTACTGGTGTTCATCACCAGGCCTTAAACATCAGTCTAAGCTAGCAGGCTCGTCTCTGCAGGTTTCTTATGTGGTCACTGGAGAGAGGCAGGTTCCTCCAGAAGGTGTTTGAGAGCATCTGCATTAGATTTCTGTGCTCAATTGTCCCGAAGCAGCCTAAGTCTCTCTGCGTGTGAGAGAGTCTAATTCAGTCTAATTCTAATCTCTAACTCAGATGCATTTCTGAAGTGCCTCTCTTGATTGTCTCCGCTCACCAAGCTTTAGTTCAGATCATGGAATGGTCTTGACGTGCATGAACTGGACTCCTTTCAGAGGAAACCTAACTCAAAGATGCTTTCCGGAAGCGTATCTAAGTCACTGCATCTTTCAGAACTTGCGGCCTAGAGATTGCCCTAAAAAACCCCTTGTGAAACACTTCAAACACAGACTTTGTGTCCTCAGTACTCACTGTTTCATCTACAGATCTATTCCTAAAGGGTTACACTACTTGCTAGTGTACAGAAAACCTCTCATGTCCTAATAAGAAGCCAAGAGGACTAAATTTATTTAGGTATAGTGGAAACAGTCGCCCAAATCACAGTTTCTGGCAGGAATATTGCCATGGACACAAAGAAACCCATAAAAGGACACCCACCCCCACCCCCCCCATAAGAATAGTCAGTCATTCTGCAAATGTATGCAGTATAGCCTTCTGGAAAAGAAGATTGATAATAATGTAAAATAAATGTGAAATAGGAAATGAAGTTTAACAGAACAGTAACAACTGAAGGTGAATTCAGATGTAAAATTCCCCAGTGCAACACCGGGTAAGACTTAGAAAAGGAACATTTCTGGATTGAAAGGTTTTCATTTGCAATAGTGAATTTCAAGTACTAGAAGTACAGAACTTAAAAGGAGAGGCTACTCTTCCCATCGTCCCGAGGAATTTGTGGTAGTAGTAGCTATTAAGCAACAGAAACCGCAGTGTTCAGCATCAATGAGGAGAGATGATACCAAAAACTGGCACCATGTGGTTAAAGTTGAAAGAAGGGGATTTCAAAAAGCAGCAAAACCAGGAAGCTACTCAAAAAGACCCCACGGTCAAAAGTAGGTACAACAGCTCAGAGTGGAAGCTGTGTAAATCTCATCTAGCAGAGTCATAGAAAAGATGCTGAGTCCCAAACAAAAACCAAAGAATGAATGCAATAAACAAATGAAGTACTGTAATGATCAATGTCACCCGACCTATTCTTTGCAAAATAGATATCCACTCAAGTAAAGTCAACCAAAAGGAGCACAAAAATAGATATAAAATTGCACACTGGAAGTGACAAAAGCTAAAAGGTAATTTGAAAAGTAAACAAAGGCATAAAATCAGGTGCAAAAATATTCATGTATATGAAAAACCTTCAAGAAAACCACTCCTTGTTGGACCACATAAAAAAAATAAGTTATTAAAGTGGATAAAGATGTTATTGATAGCTAGATTTACTTCTCTGCATCAGACTTCATCCCAGATGATTTGGAGTGAAACACATCTCTGGTTTGTTTCTCCATGTAGTATACAAGACGACAGAATAAGATGATAACAGATTTATCTTACCTTATGAGATTTGGCAGATAGGAATTGAAGACTAGCAGTTGTATTCTAGTTACTATTAAATGTTAACTTATTTTTTCCCGTTAAAAGTAAAAAAAAATAAGAAAAAGAGAAAGCACAATTTGCCAAGGGATTTTTTAAAGTACCATTATGTATCAAGAGATGCTTTTTCTACACACCTTTCCCTGCTTTTGGCTGGCCAGCAGCAGCATGCATCACTTGGCTTTCTGGAGTATTCTGCAGCGTGTGGTAGACAGTCTCATCTGCATAAAAATCCGCTGCACTGTTCTTCAAGAATTAAGACAACGAAGGGTTACTAATAGAGTACATTCTCTGAGGAGAAAGAAACTCGCACTAATTAATTTACTGAAGCCTTCAAAATGCCACCTTTCATCACCTCACCCATGGAAGACTTTTCTCAGCCGTGAAGGCACGCAGTGTACTGTACCAGTAACAAGCAGCACCAATTTATGTCCAGTGGGGAGGACTGCCTACCAGGGGAGACATTAAGAGGGAAAACAGAGTAATTGCCTCACTCTGGACCTTCAACCCTTCTGCTGGAAGCAGAGGAGGAACAGTGGACTCTGTTTCCAGAGTTAGTAAAAGACAAGGGCCACCTGGAATGTGGTGCCTACAGACTCTGTAGTTCCTGTGTCATGTTGTTGCTAATCTGCTGGTTGAAAATGGGCTTTTGTGGAATCTGTTTACCTGAAATTCTCTCCCCTGCAATATTCATTTTCCACCACTCCTGGAGGCCACAGTCCCAGTATTTTTAAGAACGAACACAGACTCTGCAGGCTGGAGCTGAGCTAAGTCCAGATAATGCTGGTCTTCCCAGCACTCTTAAAGCAAACTGCTGGAGAAGAAATCAAAGGCGTGGCACTTTCTCACAGCGGCAGAAGCTATGCGGAGGCTGGAAGTTGTTGTTCTCTGCCTGTTCCTGGGTAACAGAGAGAAGCCCTTTTCCCTGCTGTACTAGTAGGTTTGTTTGTTCGTTGTCATGTTACATGATGAACCACAGAGGAGCACGAGAGGCAAACAGCTAAGATGAATCCTAAAAAGAGACTATTAAACGTGTTTTGCAACTATTTCCCAAGGCAGTTTCATCTGAATCACGCCTGGCCAGACTGAATTTCTGTTAGAGTTAGCATAATGATTGGTATGAGAAATCACAAATGGGCAGCCAATTTTCCATTTACGTCTGACTCTGTTACTAGTAATCAGTTCACTTACAATCACATTTCTCCAGCTATACCCTGGGTTCTCTGTAGATGGTGCTGCAGAGTAGCTGGGACTTGCTCGGAGGTGGTGGTGGTTGATCAGAGCCAGGCAATTTTTGTAACCTGAGAATTAGGAGGATGGAGCAAAAACTGGGTGAGTAAAAGGGAGAGAAGAGGGGGGAAAACCGAGCGGCAAACAACCTAATATGCTACTGGGTGTGTCGAAAAGCATTTATCCTATGGCTGACTTCTAGATAATAAACTCTCCAGAGCCAAGATATTTCATGTCAGCGGGTTATCCAACATAATCTGTACTGTTACTGCTAATCACACCCTTAGGCTGGTTTTGTTTGCCTTCACAAAAGGCAAATAAGCAGTATTTGTTAAGATAAAATGTCAGATATTTCATAGTATTATGAAATAGTTTGGTTAATAGAAAAAGGAGGGCCAAACAAATCACCAGACATAATGAGTGGGATAATTATAGGCTACTATAATACATGTATTAGAAAGGAGAAGAGAATGTCACTCAGTTCTTCTGCAGGCCATTAGTGCAATGCAAGTAAGAGTCTCTGATCATGAATGAAGTGAAGGAGCATCAGAGCATCTGCAGTGCCTGAAAGAACAACACTGAAGGAACCCAGGACTTTAGGATGTTTAAAAGAAGCAGAGGAGAACACCGGACTGAGGCATTTGGAATAAATTATGCACTGCAGGTGGTCAGAAGAAGATTTGGGGGGGTACATCTATTGCAAGTGGAGATGTGGGTGCAGCTGTGGAACATACTAAACACTGAGTTGCAAGTGTTTAAAACCTCTCTCCATTGGCCCTAACAACAGATACAGGCAAGGACATTGCAAGAAATTATATGTAATGGGTCCTTCAGCATGTGTGAATTACCAATGTAGTGGAGCCAAAAATTTATTAACAACAGCTGAAGATATGGCCCAGTTGGTCTTATTTACATTTCAGTATATAATAGATAATATGTAAATAAACTTCCTCATATGAAATGCATTCCATACAGAATACAGTAGATATTTTGTTCTGGACTTAGAGGGTTTGTGATATAGCCTCCTATTTTCCTTTCCTACCATTTCTATTTATAATGTTAAAACACCAAATACAGATTTTAAATTTTATAGTAATTTAATTGCCAAAACCTTGCCTGAATTGGAACAATTTACAGCTTGCCTGTATTTTAAGTTTTGTAAAGTAGAAAACTCTTGAAGCCAAGAAAAACACTTTTGTATTAATTATCCATATTCAAACTATCATTTCTGCGTAAAAATATTTAAAATTTGTATTTTAATGTAAAAAAAGTAATTGTGGAAATTAGTTTCACCTGTTGGATCCTTGGTCTTTTTTTTTTTTTGTCTTCCCCCCCCGGAATTCATTGTTATAAGAGTTCATTCACAGCATAACAGAAGGGCATTTTTCAGTGAAAACATTGAAACTGGAAAATGGCTGTTGCACTATGGTCATATATCCTCTGATTATAGGAAATCTGCGCTCAATGCACCTAGGCTAGTACTGGGGAGAAGGTAGAGAGGGGCTGTCCAACAGTGTCCCTGTGCTGTGACATGGAAGATGCAAGCCACACTGGGCAGTGCATATTATTCCCCCTTTCCATCCTCCCAATGTACCCTTCTGTTGTTCATTAATCCACCCCTGGGAAATTACTCTCCCACCTACATGTCTTCAGATGTACTTTCCTTAAAAATACAAAACGGTAAATGAAATGGAATAATGGTCTTTTTTACCTGGTGAATACTGCATTTCTCTGTCAGAGTGCTGCTGCAGTACTTCTAGTGCATCTTCGAAAGCCTGGCCCAGTACGTCTTGGTCAGGAAAATTCTGCAAGAACATTTTTCTGTCAGGAGCCCAAAAGGACCAGGCCGGATCTTTCAACATTGTCAGTCGGAAAATCCCAAGTAAATACAGTGATTATACAGAATATACATCCTCCTGGAATATGTATTTTGCAGGCACCGAGGCATTACCATAATTGTTTACTATTATGAGAAAGTCCTCACTCCTTTGAGAAGTCTCTTTGAGGTCAGTGGGACAACTCACACGGGTAACATTAATCACTTGCGCAAATGTTTCAAGGTTCATTTCCTTAATTTGCAGCAGAAGTTTATATAAAGGGTGTTACTGCTGTTGGAGTGTTTTATAGTATGTAATAGAGAGGTATGTATCGCTTGTGTAACACGATTTATGAAGACAAAGTTATCATTCAATAACATTGACATGACAAAAATTATAACGTACAAGTTATGAAGTAGTTATGCAGAGAAAATGCTATACTATGCCAGTATGGGAAACCAAGTGCGGATTTCCAGAAAACTGTTTATTGTCATTTTAGAACAACTTGCTCTAAAAAGCTAAAAAATTCCCCCAAAATCTGAGTTTGCCTAAGAGTTTTCTGTAGCATATTTGAAGCACTCAGTAATGAAAGAGAGTAAAGGCATTGTAGACTTACCATTATTTAGATATCAAAACTTGAATCCTGTTTAAAATAAACAATATTTTTAAATTGCATGTTTTAAAATAAACAATAATTCTCTCAGTATAAATGCCATTAACAAAATGAAATAACTCCACATTATTTCCAGTGATGGAATAAAATGTATTTAATAATACAGATAAAAGTAATTTAGGATTATAAAGTGGCATTTTAATGAAATTAAATAATTGCAACATTGTATTTTGTTTTTTTTTAAATTCATACTATTTTTCGTTACTAAATTTTCCAGTTTCATTAATACTGTGACTTTTAGATTACTACCCATATCATTGTAAACACATTTTTTAAAGACATTATGAAGTGAAAATCTGTTATTGCTGACAGTCAGTCTTAGTTAGCACAACTACTAATTTCCCAAAGAAAATACTGACCTGAACAAATGCAAGTGTTTAAGTCCTTTTGGTTTTCAGACATAGTTGAAACAAACTAAGTTTTTTTCCATAATGAAGATTATCATATGACTGTATGTGAATATACATAAACTTTCAGACTAATTGTGAGTTACAGAAGCAAATCTGATTGTTTAATAAACAGTGAAAATAGACATGTTTTCAGTCACTTTAACATGGAGTATACTTCATATACAACATTACTCAGAAACAATTCCTTAGTACCTCTTTTTTATTTATTACATATTTATTTCTTACAGATTATAATGATCAGGTTTTGTTGCCTTTTCCTGTTCTCATTTACATTATTATTTCAAAATTGTAACAATAATAATAATAATAATAGTAATAGTAATAATAATAATGTATTCGTCAGTATTTTACTCATTAAAGGTTTGATTATAATCTATTGAAAATACTGGAAATTTTGTCAGTGATTTCAGCAGATGCAAAATTGGTGTCTGTGTGATGTTTTAAAATGCAAAGGAGAGACAAGATACATAAATATAAATATAAATATGAAAGAATTTTATCCAAGACTCACCATGAATGTTCTAACCTGGTAACTATGCCTCAGATAAGTATGTTAAAAAGTACCATCAAAATTCGTAAAGGTTTTTTTAAATCTTGATGACCAAGCATATATGGTGAAATCCTGGTGATTCAGTAAATTGACCTCACTGAAGTCGATGGGATTTTTCTCTTTGACTTCAGTGCAGCAAGTATTTTGATAAACTGATCTAATTTTATTCTAAAACAAGAATGGGCCACTTTAATCCTTTAGCTGCAATAGTGGCCACAGATTCTTGGGGGATAGAGCTGTAGAAATTAAAGACATGAATCTCCTTTGTACAGATCCTCACATAGTGTTCCCCTAATTTTAAGTAATTCACTTTCTTTAAATTGCTTTTGTCTAACTCAAACTCCAAACTGATTCTTGGTAACCTTGATAGAACATCTGCAGTCACTGTTGATGCCTTTCAAAGCCTAAAAGGTACAAGTATCGGCAAGGTACTGTTGAATGGTCATACCATTTACACAGCTGAATTTATACCAAAAAAAGAAAAGGTCACACCTTCAGTAAGTTTAAAAAAAAGTCTGAACACTTACCTAGAATTTCAACTCCACACACAACACAAGAATCTGTCTGGTTTCATAAATAAATGAAAGACTCGGTTCCCACAGCAATGGACTGGCAAAGGGGCTGCATTAAATAGCTGATTTTAGGGAAGTGTTTGGCTAGGGATTTTTTTGAGAGTAAAGGTATAGTACACTGCTAGCATGGCCCTTCACTCTGCACAAAAGGATGATTTGTACTGATATAAAACAAAATTGAATGTTTTAAGTATTGTCCAAGACATGCAGATTGCATGCACTGGGAGAGATTCCTTTTGGCTATGGCACATCCTAACAAATCTGTCACTGGTATGTAGTCACCCATATAGACTACAGCGGACGTTGAGGTTTTATCTGAACATCCCGCTTAGCTCACTGCAAGATGCAGACCAAACTAGACCCCAAAATAAGAATTTGAGGGAATTTCAGAACTCTGCTTCAAAGCTCACGTTTGTAGCCCAGGCCCAGCATTAAAGCATTTACTAAAGCATTCAGTACAGATTCAGACAAGCTGTAGCTGCTAATTTGCCACACGCTTTCTGAGCAGCTACAAGCCATGCTGTTGCACCCTACAGAAGTCTATGTTTTTCAGTACAAAACTTCTTATTGCTGACATAATCTATCCTGTGCCATAGCTCTCTGCAGCCAAGTCTTTCAGAGGCACATTTTACAAAATTTCCTCAGCGTTTGCCATGAAACTGCTGTAAAATAGTAATTACTTCTTACAATATTTATCTATACTCCCTCCCAATAACCATAGTCAAGAACTAGCCCAGCTATGAATGCTGAGTGGAAGCAATTTGAGGCCAATGTTAACATCAACCATTATCTGCTGGTTTCAGATGCAAGCTGCCTTTTCAAACTTTGCACCACAAAGTTTCAGATTTTTTTTTTTTTTTTCATGAAATACATTAATACATGTATGTGGTTTTTTGAACTACGAGTTCCATTTTGTAGCACTTCTCTGGCGTGACTTGGGCTTATAACGGAAAATTAACCTGCAACCGCACTCTTAAAACATCAAAATGTGACTCAGCACTGGATTTCAGGCCAAAATACGATTAGACAATTAACTTCTTTCCACATACAGTTAACTTTACTTTGCAACATGGAAAAGCATAGATTTCATGGTTCAGTTCTTTCCTGAAGTATAAGTATGTATCGGATTTAAAATTACAAATGAGCTTCAAGATCCCTCCTGGGTTCCTTCCGATAAATAAATGATGTGCTAATAGGCCCTCTGATGATGCAACCTGACCTGCCTACTCCTACATCTCTACCCGAAGCTGGGTGGTTACTCTTCTGCCCTCCTGTGCTCCCCACTCATCCTGGCCATAAAATTGCAGGGCTGGCCCCTGTGGAGGAGGTTAGGGCTGTCCTGTGCTGGTCACAGCCAATTCCAGCTGGCTCTGCAACGGACCCACCATGTGCCAAAGTGGAGCTCATCAGCCATGTGTGCGGCACCTCTGCGAAAACATTCTGAGGAAAGAGCAGAAAATGCCAAAAGTGAGGAGACAAACCTAGGAGGGAACACCAGAGGGGACAAGGAGGGAACAAGGGATCAAGGGGACAAGGAGAGAAACAAGGGAAAGAAGGGACAACAAGGTCAGAGGAGTTGGAGGGGTTCCATGACTGAGCAGGCACGCCCTCAAAGGGACTGTGGCCCATGGAGGCTCCATGTGGGAGCAGAGGACACAAGTAAGAAGGAAGCAGCAGCGGAAGAAAAGGGTGAGAAAGAAGGAGAGGCAGAGAGAAACCGCTACGTCCTGACCCCAATCCCCTGTGCCACCCACCACCTCACTGAAGGGACTGAGTGTAACCTGGGGACATAACAAGAGGGGAGGAGATGTGTCTGGAGTGCAGTTGAGCCTGGGAAAGGGGAAGGAAAGGCATTTTAATGTTTGTCTTCTTTGCTTCCCAATACCCAAATCAGCAACTAAATATATTATGGCAATAAATTAAGTTAAATTCCCAAAGTGCGCGAGCAGCTGTGTGGGTGTGTTGGCTGCTGGCCAGGGCCAACACACCCCAGTAGTAAAAGAGGGTGAAGGTTGAGAGATTAAAGCTAATGGTTTTAACACCATTAAAACGATCAGTCTTCCTAAATCAAATTGCTCGATCAGAATGTTCTCATTTTGAATAAGAGGCTACACCTTAAGGCAGGACAGCAAAGGGTTTGTTTTCAGAGGAAATAGGAAGGTGCCATACATAGCACAAACACACAGCACAAAACCAAGAGCAAACGCTGCCTCAGTAGGGTAGATTTAAACTCCGTAACCCGTTTGCATGTTGCATCTTTGGCCTGTCACAAGCTCAGAGCGAGGGCTCAGGCTACCTCCCTGGGAAGCCTGTAAGGGTTCGGAAGAGGCAGAGTAAGGTACAGCTCAGGACTGAGCGTCAGCTAACACTGACTGCTCACTCCTCAACAAATCACAGTACAGTCAAGGCAGGCAGCATGTTGGCCTCTACCAAGAAATGTTATTACAGAAGAAAGCCTGCTTTGATTTTGCATTGCATGGGAAGATGGATTCCAGATACAAGCCTGAGAAAGAGAACTCACTATTCACATTTTAATGTCTCAAACAATTGATGTGGCTGATATCAAAATATGAATATCAGTTAGAAACCACAACATCAAGCTCTTCTCCTTCCTCCAGGTTTTAAAAATAAACTTCCAACAACAGAATGATTTTTTAAGTTTCAGAACTTTCTTTCATCCTTGCTTGGCACTCAAAGCTTGTTCATAGTAATGGTACAGAGGAAGCATTTTCACCTTTCTTTGAATAATAAACAGAACTAAATTATGTATTACAGCACTTGTCGGAGGGCTCAAGAAAGCATAAAGACTCTTGCATGAGGCTCTGTTCAAATGTAGAATAAAAAACAGTCTCTCCCTTCCTAAAGGAATGTAAAACTCGAAATGGCAAGTTTTCTCACCAGGCATTTGTAGCTTTCTCAGATTTTTTTGAATGTCAGGCAATTTATAACTGCCCAAATAACACAGATAGAACACTGACGATACAAGTGAGTTGAAAACAAACCCAAACCTGGTTGTAGAAATGATTCTGTTCCAGGGAGTCATTTGCCCATACAGAACAGACTGCCTACCAACTCAACAATCGCCAGAAATCAGAAATTGGTGAATGTGACAGCCACAGAGAGTTTCCGTGCTTACATACTTGTTCTGGCCCTTGGCAGACCCCTTTGCCACCCCTCTTCTGGCCATGCAGCTCTGTAATAATCTTTGTCATGAATCCTCATGGGTGTACGTTCACAATAATTACACCACCACAGATGCTGTCTCCCTGGAAGTGGAAGGGTTGAGAGATTACATGCCTGTGCTCACCTCCTGAGTCTAACCATGCTGACCAGCAAACTTCCAAATTTCTGCCATTATGCTGCTTCTGGTCGGCTCCATTCAAGGTTCAAATGAAACTGGGAAGTTTCTTGCAGCAAGGATGCAGCCTTTTCGCTACACAGCAAGAACAGGGATCAACACACAGAGAGCTCTCTTCTTTTACATGTAGAGTGCAGTGATAATCCAGGCACGAGTGTTTCACAGTGAATCAGTCTGCAATCTGAACTTCAAATTAGTGGGCTCAGAAAATGCCTGAATTCACATTCCCAGACCCAGCATACAATGAAAACTCTCCTTAAAAATCCCAAAACACCAAACAAACACAAAAAGGAAATAAATGCCGCTTAGTACCAGCCTAAGTACTATTGTTTACTGTAATTTTGGTCAGATAATTTAGTGTAGAATACATACAGAAAGAAACCTGAAAGGGAACATAAAAACCAAAACCACAATTATGGCATCATATCATATAAGCAAATCAGATGATGAAACTGGATCTAACAATTCCATTTGTGTTGGGAGACTTTAGTCTATGCATTTCAACAAACACAATTGTTTATTCAAATACCAGAAGATGAGGATATATCATATGTTCAAACTCTTCACTTGCCTTACAAATCATTCTACAAATGGCAAACTCTCTGCAATGCAAAATATAGACTTTTATTGTAATTGGTGGAGTTATAGTATTGGTTCCTTAGCTGGTGGAAATTGGTATAGAGCCACCAAAGCCAAAGGATCACTGATGATTTGTACAAACAGAGGTTCTGGCTCATAGTTGACACTAGCATTTTCAGTACAGTAAGGGGAAACTTGCTGTGCCAGCACTAATGTTGCACATTCTTCCCTGACTTCCTGATTTGTTTTAATTCTTTGGCTACCTTATAAAGCATTACAGTTGATTAAACAGCAAGAGTGACATTTTTGCATTTTAATCCTTGTAAGAGCTCTTTATAGTTACTTACAGGGCAACATTTTTTTAAAAGATCTTTGTCCAACCATTATCGCCAAGTACATCTTATATATGAAGCTTTTTCTCTTCTTAAGGAAGAAAAAAGATACTGAAAATGTTTTATGAATTGAATTTTAAGCCTAAAATGACAGATTATCTCAATCAATCAGACTCATTTCCTTACCTTTGAATATGAAACCTTTGCATGTCACATTGGGATTCCTATCTCAGAATCATGTTTTTAATTTTAATATTGCTTTAAAATATTTTGCTTTTAAAATTCTTTAATCCTTTTAGAGTTAATAGTTTTCTGGACTTTATAGGTCCAAAGAAAAAATGTCTTGCTATTTCTTAAGAAGATACTCTCTACTTTTAGACTATTTCACAATTACATATGATTATCTCAATGTAAAGGAAATGTAAATGGAACCACTGATATGTTTGAATCTTAATGTTTTTCTGCTTTAAGAACTTGGTTAATTTTACATCTGTAATATATTCCACTTAGAGCCATCAAATAATTACAGTCATAAAATTAGGTATTTGGATAAATTGTTGCAGAGGTTAGGTCTAAACATTTAATTACCTCTTCTGGGGCCTAAAAAGAGAAGTGCAGCGTGAAGGCTGAAGTAGCATGAGTGGGCAGATCAGCTCTTCAATGGAAAACCCACATCTAAAGCCCCCACTTTACAACTCAACCCAATATATTGGTCCAGTTGTCCGTGTCAGCAGGGCTTTTCAGGAAGCTTCTTCTTTGGCT